AGGTCTCCGAGGTCCATGAGGTCAGTATCTTGCAAGACAAGGCGCCCGCATTGGTCGAGTCCTTGCTGGAAGCCCGGCTCTCCAACCATGGCCTCGCCCTCACCGACGTGGTGGCCATGATCGGGGCCCTGGAGCGCTTGATCTTCGACGAGTCCCTGGCGCTCTTGCAGGCCTCCTACACCTTCAACGGCTTCAGCACCTCCGACGCCATCGCCCAGCGCTCCGCCCACGACGTGCTCACCTCCTACCTGCTTTCTGGGTGTTGGTGCAGACATTTTTTGGTGTGTGTGTGTGTGTGTGTGTTTGCTTTTAAGAAATTGTGCTTGCGTAAGCCTTGAACTTAAACCCAGCACATAAAAGGGTTTCACAGGTTGGGTGGCTACTCTCTTCTTTGCTACTTGCAGCATTGGTTACTGAAGGCCAGTGACTAGTAATGGTCATGTCTCATGATCACGATCACGGCCGTTCTTCTCGCTCGTGTAACTTGCCAAAACCTCTTACTTTAACCCCAAACCTTTAACCTTGCAGGCACCAAATGTTACAGTCTATCCCGATCATGTTGTCTTCTAAATGGGCAGAGGCTCCCAGTTTCCCGCTCTCATTGCTCAATTTCATCCGCCTAAATTCCTCCGACTACCATAGCCATGTCACCGCAGCTTCATAGCCATCCCGCCCCGGGCGCCACGCCGACATGCCGTTTCATCCGCCACTGCTAGCGGAAGTACCAATGCCAGCACCCATCCCCGCAGCACCAAAACGGCGAAGACGACGGCTAAAAGAAGCTTACTGCAGAATTCAATTGCGCTTGTCTCGATATTCGTAGTACCCGAAGCAGCGAAGGCTCCTCTTCCAGCTGGGCAGCAAAGCCAACCTCACCGATTCGCGGCTTCATCACGCGCTGAAGGCCAGCGAACGTGATATGACTGCTAAAGCTGTTTAGTGTCTAGCGTCGATGGTTTCAGCTCTTAAGATATGCAGTGAGAGTTAACGCCAGTTACACTCCATAGGAAGCGCAAAGTTGTGGTGCTTGAGTTGTGGCTAGCGTCTCCCTTTCTTGTGGTCCAGGCCCACAAGCATGAAGCTCTTTGGGGCGGCAAACTATACTTGAAATAGTTCAGATCCAGGAACTCCTGCCAAAAGTCGTGAAACATGTGAAGGTCTAATTTGTTGTCAGGCTTCAGAGATTGTCGAAACACCGCCTGTCAGGCGAACCTGCCTACAAACAAATGGTAGTCTCCCTAAATAGGGGGACCCCATATAGATCCCCAATATACTACAATCCTTATTACAAAAAATGCCCCTAATTTTGGGAGGCCCTAAACCCTTAACCCGGTACAACCCTTATATATCCGTATAGAACTCCTATTGCCCCTTCGAAGGTGCCCCTAATTTGGGAAACCTCCAGAACTCCCAGCACACTTTTGAGGCCCCATCATCCTGCGAAGGATGCGGGTAACAGGAGTTCTGATACGTGAGGGTTTGGGGCTTAGGACTTTGCAAGCCGACTCAGTGAACCTGAATTTCAGATTGCAAGGCCCCAAGCCGTCGTAACCCTAGAGCAAACCCTAAACCCTGAGAGCCTGAGCCTTGATCAGTAACGCCTGTTGGCACCTTGACCCCTGCAGCAAGCAACGGACTTTTGAGAATAGGGTTATACTATGGTTATATGGGTTATATAGGGGTTTTATAGGGTTATAAAGTCATATAGGGTTATATAGGGAATCGTACGGTCGCCTGCTCTTCCGACCGGGCTCCCAATCTGTGACCTTGAGGCCTTGACCTGGACTCTCTCACCGATCTCGACCCTTGACCCGGAGCCCTTCAGCCATTTTAAATGACTCCTAGCCCACAACCTAAAGTCTTTACAAGCCTAAACCATTACCCCACAACCCTACTCAGGCTAGATGGGAACGGGGGAGTGGATGCTTACAACAGGCCCTATAAAGAAATCCCCATCATGATCCCTGGCTACAATCGATTCGCATATTCCTAATTCTAAGCCTTACACACAAGACCCTGCGTAATACAGATCTTCAACCACGCTTTAATGCACGGATCTGGAAACCCTAAACCCCTTCCCAACCAACGACTCCATGCTCCACATTACCCTGCTGTTCTAAGTCTGCACAGTTAGAAAGTTGTATGTCGAGCATTTTGGAGCCCTATCTAAGCATGAGTAAATACTGTAGAAGTTTAAATATGATTTCAAAGCATATTTTCTCCTAGATTCTCTGTCTAACTAATGTATAGGGCTAAAATGTGATATCGGTACTTATCTGTGACCCCAAACCTTAAACCCCAATCTCTAAACACCTTAAAAGTATAACCCAAACCCTAAACCCCAAACCCTAAACCCTGAATCGTGTGCCCCTGGCTGTGGGGAGGCCAAAGTATCGCATAGAGCCGACTTCCCGGTTTCTTTGGCAAAAATGAAATGGGGTTTGAAGGGGCTAGCAGCTTAGGTTTTTTCGGCTTTGGGGTTTTGGCTTTACGGTTTAGGTTTAGGGCTTGTGCCTTCGGGCGTTGTGGTCAGAGGAGCTTCGGGTTGAAAGTTTGGGGTGCGAGGCTCACAGTTTAGTATTTAGGGCTTCTCAAAGTATATCGTTTCCCCCCAGTATCGGACGGCCCCCGCACTCAGGTGGAATACGGCCACCAAGATAGTTGGGCTCCTGTATGGAGGCGGGCTTTATTTGGAAAGATGTGGATCTGTCCAAGTGAGGTTAGGGAGCTTTAAGGAGGCTCTTTAGTTAAGGGTGATATAAGGAACATATTGATAGGTCCCCTTTCCTAAAGTAGGGAGTGAGGCACACAAGGGGCGGCTTAAGTTTGAGAAGTGCCTTGTGAGACATGTGCTGCGGAAGTGTATAGTCATCCTTAAGCAGATGGAACAAGGGGTATATGGGGATCTTTTTATATACACCCAAAGCCATATTCTATCTACTTAAGGGGGACTATAAGTGTAGAGAACATCTTGAGTCCAAGTGCCGCCCACAGGACAGGTCACGACGTGTACTACAGTTGCCCAGACCCGAGCACAACCCCTAGCCATTGGATGATTTCTGGCAATCCTTGAAGGGGATCTGCCTTCTAGATCCTTGCAAGGGTCTGGGTCCTTTGGAGTTGTTCGGAGTTATGTGTATTGCAGCCTTATAGTACTTATTGTCTAAGCGATACGGGGGTGAGAAATTTCCCGCAGGCACACTCTGCATGGCCCATAGATACATTCCATTCTCCTCATGCCATAATCTCAACTCCTTAAAGGGGTTATATAGGGGATCATATAGGGGACTACTATAGGGGTTCTTAAGGGGGATACTAGGAGTTCAGGCTATAGCTCATGTAAGTCGTAATTCGTCTTACTACTGGGAAGCTAAGAGCCCTACCCTGCCCTCCAACCACCACCCCAAGTCCGACAGCAGCACTGGAACGTGCAAAACCCTAAGCCGAAAACTCTGACTCCCCACCCTTCCCCAAACATGACCTATAGTCTACACTCCTTAAGGGGTTATATAGTGGGTTATATAGGGGGCCATCATAGGGATTATCACGGGGGGATACTAGGAGTTTAGACAATGGCTCACGGAAACTGACGTATCTTGCATGTAGAAGAGCCGTAGTCTTTGTAGAGCCGTTTTGGGGCAGGTAGCAGCGCTCTGATCCCATGCCCAGAATGCGAGGTTCTCCAGGACTTCCAAAGGGACACCGTGCTGAATCACCAATTTGCCACTGGGCAGCAACAACGATGGGGGCTTAGGGTTAGGTTTTAGTGTTCAGGGTTTAGGGTTTAGGGTTTCGCGTACGTGCAAGCCTGTTGCAAAAGGGTTTAGGGTTTTGGGACTAGGGTTTAGGGTTCAGGGCTTAGCTGGGCAGCAACACTTGAGTGACCAGCGTACAAACAAAAAAGCGTGCCTCTGGTTACTGGAATTGCAGGAACAGTCCGCATAACCATCGGTTTGTACACCAAACGCTCCATTTTTCCATCACCAACTTACAAGAGACAAGAAGGAGAGGACGTGGTTTCGCTGTCTGTCACCCAACCTGCCACTGATGTGAGGGGCCACGGCGCTCAATCGATTAGTGTTATTTCTTGGTGTAGGTACTTAAGCATTCAATCACTTCGAAGGCTGTCTCATGAATCTTCATGAGGCAGCTGTTGCATTCCTAGGTGGGTTTGCTGCTTTCAGGGCGCAGGCTCCGGCTAAGGGTTTGAAGAGGCAATTTCACATGATCAGGATTTAATGTATGCTAGGTTCTCTAGGTTGAGACCAGCGGAGAAGCCTTAATTACAGCTTGTATGAGAAGGCTTGATAAGCCACTGTGAGTTAACAGTTTTCTTTGGAAGGCTGCGGAAAATTCGAAGCCTCATGCTGGCGCAGCAACACTAGACTGCAAACGTCCATGCCCCTCCTTGGATGCAGTGCCTGTGCAACAACCTAGCTGCTTGTACCTGTTTTTTTCTGTAAAGCGTTGGTGGTACCGTCATGAAGATTCTTTGGGAGTCTTATCCTTGAAGCCCTAAACCCTAAGTCCTAGACGGCAGTCCCTGCCGGAAACTGTAGCGCATGATGCTTGCTGGAGGCCAATCGGGACAGGATGAATCCTTTCGTGCCAGTGGAGTACACTTTTGAGGAATTTGGGATGCACGGTTGCGGAGGGTACTGTAGGGTTTTGGGTTCAATGTTTAGGGCTTAGGGTCTGCGCATTTAGGGCTTGGGGCGGTGCCAGGCTTAAGGTCAGGCGCCCTCTACAGGGTTTAGCATATGGATTAGAACACGTGTGTGTCTGGATTAGATTGTCTGGGGATTGGAGTGTAGGGCTCATTCTCGAGATAGTAGATAGCACAGGTCCATGAAGCATCCTAACTCAGACTCAGAGCCACATCTTGACATTGCTCCATGCGGATTTTGTAATATTTCCAAGATGCTTGTGCAAGTCACATTCCATGTGGCATGTTCATGATTGAATTCGATATTTATGCAGGACATGTTTGAGATAGTGGAAGAGCTGACGCACGGCTACGGCAAGTGGCAGAATACCGAATGCATGCAGATGAAGGGTGACCTTATCGAGCTGGACACCAACGGTGATGGACGCATCCCGCTGAATTATTTCTACGGCCAGCAAGACAACACCAAGTACCAGTTCAGCGAGTCGGTGC